TTTGGAAACACCGATGCACGCAGTGTCTTCACCTCAGTAGCACTAGTTGCGATCTTGTCCTCCATTTTTCATCATAATCTGGATTACTCAAAATTATTGTGAACTGTGCCTTTGATAGATAAAGTTGCCATAAGTTTTAGGACTCATGGAAACTGCGCTGCTTGCACAAAATCGCGAAATAGATGGCCAAGTGAACAGAATGATCATTGATTGATAAGGATTTGTCAGGATAGAAACAAAAATGGAAAGCTACTTCAAGGCGAATCTCCCGAACCGAAAAAAGTTGTGAGAAAGAATTTTCTGAGATTAGACACGTTGCTAACTATAGCTATGAAATGAGTACTTCCCAAAGCCTTCTAGGCAAAAGGAATTACTAACTTGGCAATTTTCGAGATCCTGTCCACCTAAGAATCTGAATAGAGGAAGCTGAAAGTTCCTAGGTAGTGTAAGTGGAAACCGTCGGTCATCAAGCCAAGTACACACTAAGCGCCGCAGATACTCTGAAACGGAAAGCTGTAAGACATGGAAATATACTTGAAAAGTGCTGCCAACCTTGGTCTCTAGGATGAGCTTGGAAAAACTCATCAGCACTAAGGATTCTAGCGTGCTCTTCCGATATTGTTACTCTTCCGACTCGCGCCCCATTACCAAGTCTTCTGGCATTGTCCGCAATGTAGTGGACAGAATGAATGGGTATCTCGTTCTCCTGAATCATCATATAAGATGATTTTGACGAAAATGCCCAGGAAAAGAACCAGTTACCGCCGATACAACCGTGTGCTTCCACGGGAACTCCTCCATACCCACATAACAGGCGTTAATGGCTGTTAGAGTACCACGAGCAGTGCTAGTGTCATAAGTATTCGGTGGTACAATAATATTCAAAATACACTTCCCAAGTGTTCGCACCTGAAAAGCGATATTCCCTGAAAGGTGGGAGCAGTTCGAAGGAAACCTACCAATTCCTCGAACCTTGGCGATGCGCTGCTGTCGATAACAAAGCAGTAAAAGTGCAGTGGTGAGTACATCATCGTTAATACCTCTTCCAGAAAATCGTAGTTCTGTAATAAATCCTAGAGGCTTCTTTTCTTAAACAGCTGCATCAGGGGATTTTCCCTATTTTTGTAAGTGATATAATAGCTGGATTGTTCTGCCCGATCAGCGGCACCTACACGACCGCATTTCTTAGGCATTGGCTATTGCATTTGGCAATGTGTGTATCGACACAACCAAGAAACTAAGGACGGTATTGCTCGACTAGTCGGATGCCCAGCTAACGGCGGGCTTCCCTCCTTCGAAACTTCACAGAGGATCTACAGGGCATGCAAGTGTTATTCAGAATGTGCCGATGCTTATGCCCATAACTAGAAGTCACGATCTGTTGCTGTTCATCTTGAAAATTTTAACCCACTGGAGGTCCAATTGGTCCAAAATAAGTAGTTTCGCTCGCGTCACGCCTCTAGGGCCAACTGTACACTTTTATGGCAGCCCCGCCCTACGTGTGCGGAGCCTAGTCCTGTCATCTAGCATCTGAAAATTGCCAAAAATAATGAATAGTGATCAAGGTCAACCTCAGACGTGGAGCCATGGAGTATTCGATCTTCATCATAAAGTAGTGAGTTGTCTGTTGGTTTGTCTATAGGTGTGTGTGTGTCGGGTCTGTGTGTTGTTAGAGCGAAAATTCATAGGTCGTGCTCACCTGGATCTAGAGCGCTAAAATCTTGTAGGTGTGTATGGGAACACTGATGGTAGGTGGTTGCTAGACCCTGCCCCAGGTGGTAGGACGTCCATGGAAATAGCAAGTTTGGAAGTGGAACGTGGAACTTTGGGTAGGGATACGTACGGTAGTATGGGGATGCTGATGGGCGGTAACAAAATCCGGTTCCGCCCACAGGAGGCGGGGCGCGCGCGTAATAAGTGTTTAACAAAAAAGTCGTAATTCCTATTCACCTAGAGAGTTCAAATTAGATAGGAGTACAGGTGGTAGAGAAGGGGCACTGTGACAGGACCCGACTTCGCCCACCAGGAAAGGTGTGTGCGTGCGTGAAATTATTAATTTGGACCGAGGGCATATCAATATCAAGGTTCATTTCAACTTTGATCATTCCGTATTTTTCATATCTTTAAAATGTGAACATGATTAGTTGTGCGATGCTTACCTTACTGACAATCCGCAGGAAGTACATGTTGTGATGGACCTCCATGCTATCAGGCACCTCTGTTGGAAGATAACGCCGCTTCCGGATGGTCCAACATCTGAAAATCGAGCTCATCCCGTGTTGAGACAACTAGAGTATTTCAATAAAAGAACGCACTGGGACACGTTGAGGTCGATTCTTTGTTCGAGAACTGTTCGATTGAGCTTATACTCTTCTAGATGCTGCCTACCTTGAGCTCCTAGAAAAGTCGAGCAGTCCATGTTTATTCGGAGAGGGACAGGATTGAAAATGTGTATGCTGGAATAGAGCAGAATGAAGTTTTTCAGCTGCTGAATCATTCAGTTCTTTAAATTGATCCCTGCGTTCCAAATGAAAGGACGCTAAGCGTTGGAATGCTTTAGGAAACCACGTAAGCCACTGATGCTAGCTTATGAGTAAGAGGAAAGTGGGTAGGTCTCATGAAACCAATAATCGACGCACATCCATGTGTTGCTACTTTTGGATCCTTAAGAAGGGAAAAACAACATTGATGGATGTCACCTATTAAAGGGAAAACATAGAGGCCAACCTTTAGATTCGAAAAGGGTTGTCCCAGAATCCCTACTCTATGTACTTCCCTGTGATTAGACAGTACAGAAAAAGAGAAAACGAGACACAACATAAGCCGTCTGAGAGCAGTAACCTACCTCCATGTGACATATGCGACTAGAGAAAGAAAAGCCGAAATCAACAGAGATATCGGCACAGCCTTTAGGTAGAATGCCGCGTTGTGCCACGCCATTCTGAAATAAACGTCCGCTCAGATAAGTGCTAATGTAAGGCGACTTTTCCCGATATACCATTCATCCCCTCTTCATTACAGACAATTCCGTCACAAGAAATTTGAAACGAGTTGAAGAAGAAGCTAAAAAAAGCTATTTTAATGAGAAATAAAGCTTTTGACGGCCGACGGTCGATTTTATGAAGATTGATGAAGATGCTCTAAACAATTTCATACAGGATCAACTCCGAAGTATATGCAGTTTTGACCTGAGCAGCGGTCACTTCTAGAGAGCATCCAGCTCCCAAGTGATGCCCGCCTTCAACTGTCTAACATCCGAAGCTAGTTATTCAAACAGTTCAAGAGACAACAAATTCTGACTAAAGCATTGCCATCACAATGCATTCAAAAGGTTCCAATACATTTGCTGGTCTGAATTGGGTCAACGTTTGTCTGAAGATAAAGCAGCAAAGCTCTGCTGTTTCTATTATACAACATACACTACGCCGTATGATGAGAGTAATCCCACTCTCCACGATGGAGTCTGTTAGAGACAAGGCTTTTGTTATAGCATTAAAGTAGACTTTCCGGAACATATCAAGGGAAGATTCCAAAGTGCAAAGTTGCAGACATCCCACATTCTTAAGGGGTCCCCATTAGAAGTAAACAGACATTCTCACAATCCTGCAAGTCCTATGTGCCACATTCGGTGGAATATAACACCACGGTATTCAACCCTTCAAAAAAGAAGGAAGTTCGTGCAATTGAAGAGGTGCAAAACAATTTTACTCGTAAACAACTCATTGGAATAGGAGGGTCCTTGTACTCCAAAATATCGAAGGCTAGAATAGGGAATAGGTATCTAGGGTTACTCTTCAACTTACCCCCCACCCCCTCCCCGCCAAAATTTTCGATCTGAGCATGATTTACAAGATGTTTAGAGATCCGTTTTGGTAGAGCGCTTTCAATATCTCCAACGTCCTCAGAATTTCGAGCTCAATAACCAGAGGTAGTCAATGAAGATTCCGCTTACAAAGTCTAAAACAACTTTGCGTGCTAGGAACTCCTTCTACATAGCTGTTAACTATTGTTCAAAGTCAGCTAAGAAAGTACCAACTACTTTATAACTTGCTCAATTCAAACGTCGTATAGCCATTCTTTTACCTAGGTATGATTAGTTTAAGCGTTTTAGGAGACCGATTGACAAATACAGTTACTTGCCGTTATCTATGCTAACACTTTTGGGGATTTTGTGTGGCTTTTTCCATTCATCTGATGTGTTATGTTTCGATTTCGGTCACTCAAGATATCGCTTTTCATTTGTGCCTTTGGCAAACGTAATGAGCTTAAACTTAGAATAAAAGCAGTTATTTTTACCTCCTGTCCCTGATTCTAAGATGTGGGAGTGACGGAAACACGACAGAAAAGAAACAAGAACAGTAATAGTGCGTGGCCTACCTAGGAGTTCCTCAAAGGGCAAAAACGTTTGAGAGAAAAAACGTCGGCTGTACGTTGGAATGCGGAAGCTCGTTTGAAATGATGTACGTCACACTTACGAAGAGATAGGATACGGTAGTGGGGCGCAACAGGTCTGCTGTTTTGGCCAGGGATCCCCCCCCCCCCCCCCCCACGTCGGAGTGACCGTCATGCTTTGCATCATGACGTATGTGGTATAACGTACATTACGTAGCATATAAGCAGAATGCACCTTCTTGCCATCAATCGTCCCGCATCAGTTTGACGACGGGACGTCGTTTGGGGCAGTCCAGAGATCCTCAATCCAGAGAAGAAGAAGGAACTTGCACTGCCTTTTCGACTGCTCAGGACCCTTGAGATGAAAAGGAATGCTCAGCTACGACTTCAGACCATTACATGCATACAGTAATCCACTCATAAAAAAAGCATTTTAAACGAAGAAACTTAAAAGCGTTTAGTTGAATCAAATGTTCAGACATCCAGTAATTGAAGAAGTACTAATAAAATAGGCAATCAAGTAAATTTATGATTGCTACTGAATTCGGAATGTCCATCTTCCACTATCGAAAGCGTCATTTCCTGACACAGACCCCCTACGATCCCATCAAATCCCACATCATCCACGAAAGTGACAAGAAGCCAGTGGTAACACGATAGCCGCAGTGGAAAAGGGCAAGCTGCTCTGGTCAGGGGATAGAGGAGATGCACGACGGGGTAGACACTGTGAATGGCTTGACTCTTCATTTGAATTGATGATACTCCTTAATTGGATTCTAGTGCGACGCACTAAATTAATGGAGCTTCACTAGAACTATGTTTTTTTGTGGGAGACAGGTTCTCTCTCAAATTAGGCCTACGTTCCGAACTTACATTCGCTAGATTCCTATAAAAAAAGTAGAGCAGTGTCTAGGAAGAGATGGCACTGTGCAAGGCTTGTTCATTAGCAAGATTCTGGAGAGTCGATGAAATGGCCGAGGAAGTCATCGCTATTCGTATCGAATGGATAGAGCCATGCTCGAAAAAGGTGAACGTAATGAACAGTCAAATGAAAATATAACCCGTACAAAGCGTGTCTGACACTTAGCGAATTAGGCACTTGCAATTTTGACAACTTGACGAAGTCGATGAGTAACAAAGCAGTAACCAACAAAGCTTTGCTTAATAGAACTTCGTTTTTACCAAGGATAGTAAATGTTGAACAACCATCACATAAAGACGCCACACCCCAAGCCCAACAAATACAGAAAAAAATGACTAGAAAACCTGTTCTGATTGAGTTTGGGAATCGATAGCAAGGGCAAAAGATCATTGGTATTATTCATAGCAAAAGAAAGCGACCCCATCAAAAAAATATGGAGACTTACGTTCGAAATGTCTTTAGCGAACATACCGTAACACTGAAAGTACAGCTCAAAAGTATGTTTCGTCTTCTCGGAATTACCTTGTTGATGAGTACATGGCTCAAGGGAAAGTTGCCCGCAAGATATCATACTTGAAAATGAGCCCATAGAGGCTTCCAAGCACAATTGCGGAGGTGGTGTAGTGGCAAGTGGCGCAATATCACCCATACGTGATCCGAGGATCGAATCCTGCATCGATACTAGCCTAGGCTAGCCAGGCCTTGCTTCATTCCATGGCTGTTTGATTGCTACCAGATTCGTCTGATAAAATAACATCACTGCTTTGATCTCCGCCGGCCTCCACAAGCCGTATTATGTAAAGGACCATAAGCATTCAAAACGCCACAACGGTTCTGAATGGGAGGACAATTGCGGTCCGCATCCCAAACAGGATTGATCTTAGAAACTTTATTCAAAGGGCAGTGAGCGTGCTTGTGGTCAACAATTCAGCGGGGCGACCTCATGTTTTCAGCAAAATACGAAAAGAAATTTACGAATGAAAGTGGTTCCACCGTTGATGAACAGCGAACGCTGTTCGACAAAGAGGGCAGCGATCAAATTGAGCATATTGTGATCACAATACTTCGACTTCGTAAACAACAAACATTCACTTCGTATTCGGTCACGCTTAAGTCATTTGCCCATTTTTTGAAAAGATTCCTCCCCATGAGGTGAATTGCTAAGAATGAGTTTCCCAGCTCTCATACATAGCGTGAAGGTGGTCCGAATCCTTCAAGTAAGCACTTCAATCACATGGCAGAAACATTCCTATGAAAACTCCCCACTGCACGAAAACAGGTTTCCAGTAAGCCCGCAGTGTTGGAAAACGGGAAAAAACTGGCTTGCTCCTTCCTTGAGGATTATTTCATTGAAAGGACAATTGTGGGTTACCTTAGAGCCTTGGCTGGGTGAAGGGGATGCTCAGTAGGTGCCAGAAGTTTTCACCACGGTACTTTGAAAAACTTTGCCTTATTACTGGTTAGCTCTTCATTACCTACAGGAATCAAGCGATTGTGAGATGAAGAATTGACGATAGGGAAAGGGGGAAGGAGGGGATTCTGGGGGTATTTTATGCATAAGAGTGAAGAAGTTAAATTTAACCTGGAGTGGTCAACAATTACACAATGAAGAAGAAACCAGAAACGAAGGAGTACAGGAACGGAATGCAACTCTCTTGTCCAATAGTTTAGGATTAAGGACACCCTTCCTATTTTGACTCAATCAACTCTTACTAATAGTGAAGGCTTGGAGCGATTATGCGTTCTTGGATGTACTCTTACTGTGCAAATATTGCCCATTTGCCCTCAGAATTCTCTTGCATTAATCAGAAGGTAGGCGGATTTAGAAGCCCCTCAATAACCTTCTACCCAGAAATTCAAGCTTTAAGAATGTTTGACTAAAGTTTGGATACAGTCTAGCAGAAGTGAGATGTAGTGATTCTAAAAAACCAAGCGTTTAAGGTCATCGCTGACCCAAAAGGGACTGATGTTAGGAGACGATTCAACATTCTGTTCACCTCATTCTTACACTATTGAAAGTGACCCTCGTCGGTCAAGAGCGAGGTGGGAATAAATCTTCTGACCTACTCAGACTGTTTTTTGGAATGATTTCTGCAGTACACTTTGATTCCCTACTGTCATCAGTGATTTGAGCAGTATTTGTGGCGAAAAGTATTCAGTAATGATACGACCCTGCGGAGGGT